TTCCCAGCTTCTCTATACAGATCTAACAGCTCCATTTACACTGTCTCCTTATTTACAAGCTACCAGTTCTCCACAACATTTTTTATCACTTCTTGGGATTGGTCTTCCCAAGTACCACAGCTTAAGAACTTCTTCCTCACACAGAAGACTCATGAATAATTCTAGCTACCACATACTGAACAATACAAATCATCACTAGAAACAAAGCTTACATGAGAGAGTATTTCACAGAAAACTTAATTATTACTTCGACAATTAAAATCAGCAAAACAAGTGAAATAGTGCTAAACTTTAACCTCCTAACTATTCACTTTGCTCTTTTATTCCAGTCCTCCTTATTATCCAGCCTCCTGCCACGTTGCTCTCTCTCATCTCTTTTCTAAAAAACTTCAGTGTACTTTCTTTTTCTAAGTGTATGATTTCCAGTCTCATGAAGCATTTTGGAGGAATCAGCATCCGAAAACTTAGACAACCTATCATAGTCACGAATTTTAGTTTCCCTCATGAGAATCATTTTATACCCAAGCTTATGGATGTAGCAAAATTCTCATTTGAATGAAAATATTTCTCCTACAGTATCCACCAGAATCAGCTTCTAATTTTTCTAAGAATCTTAGGTGATTAAAACAGAAACAGCATCGAATAATACCATAAAGTTTTACTGCGTAGCCACAGAAGGAAAAAAAAAACAAGCATTATATTATTATTATTTCTAGGTACAAAGTTGCATTAAAATACACCTGAATAAAGAAGCTCTCATGCTTTAGTATGTGTTTTACATCTTCTACTTGAACAAAAAGTGCATTTGAAATGACTAAATATCAACAGATTTAGTACAATGTAATATAACAGAAGTAAAACAGACATCAACTTACTGTGAGGTGTTTACATCCAAATATTCACAACGTCCTCACATACAGTAATTCACTCAGATACAGAAAGAATTCTTTTGGGGAAAAAAAAAAAGAAAAAAGGCATTTGAGCCACAAAACTTTAGTCTGAGAGTAGAGAATTTCACTTAGCTGAAAAGAAAAAGAAAAGAAAGTAATCAGTCAAACTACAGAAAGGTTAATGGAACAAACACAAACGCTGGATCCTCAGCTGAAGTAAATTACTAGAACTTCATTTATGTCAATCCAAAGCAGCTGAGGTTGTGTGTCCTGAGACTGGTAGTCTACAGCCCCTTCTGCTAGGCAAGGATCAGCTTCTGTCTCAACATGCCAGGGGTGCATGAATTGAAGCAAAAAAAAAAAAAAAGCGGGGGGGGGGAATAAATTCAACTTAGTAGAAGCAAAGGGGTGAGTAAGTCATCTCCAGGATACAGTTCTCCCTGGCTGTATCTGTAAAATAAACCTGCTATGCTCTATAGTGTGTTTCTTAGTCATGCGCTTAGGTGTACAGAGTGTGGGGGGAACAGAGCCCAACATCAGGGAAAGTGTTTCCACAGTCTTGGCTCGCTGATTGCCCAGGGAAATCAATTAGGGGGCATTTTATCTTTCTCTATCCTGACACACTTCCATTTCCTTCAGCCGGAAAACAGAACAAGTGAGGGGATAGTGCACGCACTCACAGTTTGCCTGAGACACAGGCAAGATGTGGCTACAGCACACATCAGATATCAAAACCGCAGAGATTAACTCCTCTGCAGTACAGATGCTGCTATGTTTTTTCACATAATAGTAAATATCTCTGTTAGCACTCAAAAAGGTGAATGTCATAGCTCTGCAAGCCATCCCACTTCAAGCGCTAATGACCTTTCATTTTCTATTGTATTTTTAAACTAGGTTTTCTATGTCTCCATCAGATGATCTCAACGAAGCATGAAGATTGATGCATAAAATAGGGATAATAACAATTTGTGCTTTGTTTCTGTTTGTTTTGTACCCAGGCTTACTGTAAGACTGAGTGGAAAGCAAAACATCCTGTAATAGCTGCTTGTTTGGTGCAGTTGCATAAAAATGGTTTACAACTGAAAAATTTGAACAGTATTACAACACAACTATGAGAAGGAAGCAGCTGGCATGCAATGTGCCAAGAGGCAACGCTGCTCTGAACAAGCTGGAGAAGGCTGGCACCCAGGCAGTGGCACCCAGGCGCTAACACATCCCTCAGCAGGCCAGAACACAGGCTGGCCCATGAACGAGACAGTAACTCTTTGGACCAGATGGATTTTGTCCTATGGAAAAACATACATAAACATCAATGCTACATGGTGAAGCATAGAAAATCTTACAGCTTCCCTCAAGAAGCAGCCTTTGAGCTCAGCTTCAGAGGAAAGAACAAAGACATGCTATCAGGGCCAGCAATGTGGCATCTGACTTGCGTACTTGTGTACTAAGGCCTGAATAACACATTGAGTAGTCTTTGCTTTTCAGTAGGTAACAGAAAAATTACTTATCAGCTGACCATACATAAACGGTTGTTTGATGTTTTGAGGTTTTGCCTGGTCTCTCAGTCTCTTGATACTCCCACCATGCTGGTACCAAACTCACAAATAATAACAAAAGCAACATGTACAATACCAATGTCTTACAACAACCTCACCAGATTATTATCCCTGTTTTAGACTTGAGGAAACCAAGGCATAGCGAGGTTAACTGACTTTTTTCCAAAACTAGCAAAGCCTTGATCTCCCAAAGCAGGCTGTTCAGCAGAGAGGTCTGATGCACGGGTGAGAGGCCCCCATGCTGCGGATGAGGATCCATGCAGCCTGCCCTGCCCGCAGCTCCATCTGGCCCTGTCAGAAGTCATAGTTTGTCCTGATGATCTGAGAACCACCAGAACTGGTAATTTTCAGTGTTCTTGCAAATAAATCGTTTCATCTCTTACTTTGTACCTCTCACTAAAGCACAAGAAATGTAATGACACATCATACTCTTAATATTTAGTAAATTATTTCTAATTACCACAGTACAGTATGATAACTCAAGAGTTTCTCAGTAACATTTCACAAACTTTCAAACTTTCCAGACCACAAAGTAACAGGATGGCAGAACGTTCTGTAAACCTATATATGTACGTACATGTATGTATGTCTTCTTGTGCCAAGCCTTGTTGGGTGAAGTTCTGGCAGTTTGGCAGACACAGGGCTCTGGGACTAGTTACAAGAGGGCATTTGCATACAAGTCTCTATTTATAAATCCTAAGTAGAGAAGAAGTGTCAGTGGATTTAATTTTTGAAAACAAAATATGAACATTTTTATATAAGCTGAAAATTTTAAACCTTTTTCTCTTAAGTTAGAAGTTAGCTTTGATTTGGGTTTCTAGACACACAGAATGTGTCCATATTTATGCTAACCTGTGCTTCCACATGCATTCAGATAGTTTCTGTGGGCAGGAATGCAGCCTCACCTGTGTTTATTGCCTGGATTTGTGAAGTCTGAATTTGAACTAGACCCATTCTATTCTCCTCTTCTGTTTTCCCCTGGATGACTTTCATTGCTTAGCGACTCAGCTGCTACTCTGAAATCCTGAAAGTGAGCTCTCCCATTTACTTTTTAACATAACCTTTCCGAGTTGAAAGTAAAAAGGAGATTAAAAAATAAGGCAGATTTTGATATCCTTGTTCAAGATAATAATCCTTATATCACTAGGTGTCACCAAGTTCAGCTGTAGAACAAATTTCTCACACAAGCAGAATAATGGGATCAGGATTTAGCCGTTAGCTATTTACAAGTGCATTTCAAATACAGTATATGAAGAAAATAGAAAAGAAGGAAAACATGACTAACAGACAGTTGAGGGAAGTACGTATTAGAGTGTATCTGAGAACATTAATAGCAATAACATTTCATGTCTAGTTCTTGAAAGCTAGTCAGTCATAAACCCACTTAATTATACTCAGCCTCCCATGAATGTAGACCAAAATTTCAGAAATGTTTTAACTGCACACCTGAGGAGCATGCTAAGCTTCTGCTACTGAGAGTTCATAACAGAAATATTAAGTTCTCAGTAAAGATCAAAGTGCATCAGTGAAAACTAATTGCTTATGTTGCCAATTGTTTCAATCTTATTATATTTCAACAGCAAATCTGAAAAAACGTATCACAACACCTTAAATCTGACATGTACAATGCTTTTTCTCAGACAGAATTTTTATTTAAAAAAATGTGAGACTGACACCTTTTAGACATGAAGGCCTTTCAGGTAAGCCCAAAGTCCCACACTAAAACATGAAACAGTGAAAAACAGTGTAAATAAAAAAGCATCACAGAAAATATTTTGATGACCATGCTGATACACAATCAGTTTTATATCATAATGATCAAATTTTGTATAAGTATCTCAACTTCTCATTTTACAAATTACTCCCATTGTAATGTATTACTCCCAAATTGTCCCCAGGCCAAATCCTGTAAGGTTTTGTAACTCCCACGACACTTGATGGGATGACAGGTGGTCAGAAGGCTGAAAATATATCCCTGTGTAGGTGAGCACCTATTAAATGCAACGCCTACTGTTTTAGTCCCCAAGATCAGTTTCTGACTGCTCTATAGATGTAAAGAGGATACAGCTGTTGCAGATTTGATGGTGCAGACGTGAACAACCTGAAGCCAGTAGGGAGAGACACCGGAATTTCTCTCTACGCAGAACAGGTTGCATTGATGAGCCTGCTTTCAGTTCTCCAGCTGGCAAATCTGACTCTAAGGGCAATAAGCAAATGCTGTCACCTGACAAACCTGCGTAAGAAATAAGAAGCTCAACATGAAGGAAACAGCTGATACAAGCATGGCATTTTGCCTCTCTGAATCCATCTCCTGGATGTGTCTGTGAAAGATGGCAACTTCTCAACAGTAGGTAAAGGGCAGGCAGTAGAAGTGGTGTGATGTTATCAGAATGATTCAGGGGAGTTTTATGAATTGAAGTTTAAGAATGAATACAGTTGTGGTCCAGAATAGAAGGCATAACCAGACCACAGGAGTACGGAATGGGGAAAAGAGCTGGAAATTATGGCAGGTCTTGATTTGTAACAGATTAATGCAAGCAGTATTTTCATGTTAAATTACTGAGTTAGCAGGGAAAAAATAAAAGACTAGATATGTTTTCATACACAGAATGAAATGAGATGCATCTCCCTCTACTTCTTTTTCTTTGAGACCCATGCTTTTGACTTGTACAGCAGTTTTTAAGTCCCTCTAGCCAGTCAGGCTGGAGGGCACCCATTGCTTGCTAAGGGCCCACTCAAACTGAGTGAATTCAAGTTCCCTGTTCCCACACATTTGCAAGCTTTCCATTCCCTACCAAATGGAATATCCATAACTATTTCCAATTTTAATACTAGGCAAATACTCTGTCATGTGACACTTGTGACATGCAAGACATAACAGTCCCAGCTCAAGAGAGTAACTATGCCAAAAAACAGACCAAATTAGTATGAGTGACCAAATAAATATTCAAAAAAAAAAAAAAGCTTATTTTTATCTAGTCCATTTTTTTATTCAGAAACAGGAAAAAAATCACTGACATAAAAACTCACTCAGCTGAGATTTCAAATATCTTAAACACATCCAAAAACTTGTATTATTTTTAAAAGACATCTGCTTTAGTCATGCATTCAAATCAGAAGTGCATTTTGTGTGGGTTTATGGCAGAGTATCCTCAGTTGCTCATTTTCTTATTTCAGATTTCTCATTTAATATGAGAATATTCAATCAGCACAAACAATCCAATAAGTGAGTATGAAAAAGAGTGGTTCACACAATTGTAGAATTATTAATTAGGAAATATAGAGCAAAACATTCTCAGAGAAAAAAAATCCAACACCAACCACCCAGCCTTTGCAGTTTTTAGTGAGTCAAGGTGAGGAAAAGGCCACCTTCCTAGAGCCCCTGATTAACATCAGCATAAAGAAGCCTCCTGCTTTCGGAAGGAATTGGATCAGAACCATACGTGCGAAGGCGTTGATGACAGCAGAGCCCATCGTGTTGTTGGGACTACCGGCACAGGACCACAACACGTTGGCTTCAGCTGCTCCCTCCCACCTCCGGCTGCGTGGTCCAGCTTTTCCGCTGCGGCTTCCCGCCTTCAGTTATTCCACAACAACTGTTTGTGGGAGCACAGGATAAATGGGATCACTGAAAATAACCTTGTTTGAGAGTTATTTTTAACCTGGATCACTTCAGATCATGTCAGCATTGCCTCACAAACCTTTGTGTGCGTGGGGTGGTGAACAGTAGTACAGGATAACAAGTTGCCAGCAGAATAGTAGGGGAGAACAGAGTATCCTTTGATCTGGCTTTGCCCCTAAAGGCAGAGTATTGTGGAACTACATCCTTGTCTAACAATTGTAAGATGTATGACGCAGAGGGAATACAGGTCTTTGTGTCACACTCAAGAAGAACAATGAAGTTCAAAAATTATGAAAAAAACCATTAAAATACCTTTCCTTTCCTTTCTTTTTGCCCGCATTTAAATGTACGCACAGAGAAGATACTTTGCAATTTTAAATAACTATTTTCCTCACTTTCTCTATCCTCTCATTGTAATTCACTGAACCAAACTTCTTCTAAATAACTCAGTCAAGGCCAAGTCAATGTGTTTCAGTGACATTCACAAGAGAAATCTCTTTTAAGACACAGCATGGTGGCTATCTACAGCACAAGCACTTACTTCCAGTGTTAGTGATACAGTAACTTTGAGATCACTTTTTTAATGATGAACAATAGTGCCTGAATTAAAGAAAGGAAATAGCCATACAGTTAATATAAAAGACACTTTCCATTAGGAACAGAGAGAGGCATAGCTCTTAAAAATGGGGGAGTGAAGCTTTGCTTGAGACTTGTCATTGCATATCCATCCACAGAGACTGAAGAGGTGTGTATGCACTTGCATAATAAACACTGAATAAACGCTGGAAAAAGGGAGATTTTTTTTCTTAAGAAGTTCTCTCCTTTATTTATTGATAGATGAGTGCTATACCTCCTTCTCAGAAGCCACTCTTCTCCAGCTGCTATAAGGAATTTTTTGAATACAGAGAGTTTCATAGGTCAGGGAACAGTGAGAGAAAAACCTTCATCCTAGGAGTGGATTTTCTTTCAGCTCTTCCATGCATTTTTCAGTAATCATAAGGCCACTGACTACCTGTTTGAAGAACTACGGCCTGCAGAAAAACAGCTGCAAGAACAAGCAGTTCAAATGGTGCTTCTGTACCTAAACAGAATGTTCATAGTAGCTATTATAATATCTATTTCTAAACATTTTTTAATGCTTTCGCAACTCTCTGAGACTGATGTGGGATTGACATTTCAACCGCATTTTCTTGAATCCTGATTCATTGCCATGTTGCTAAAAAACTTCTGCCTTGTAAATACTGTTGTACTTCAGTTATGTCAATAAATATTGACCTCTTCTGCTTACTCTTTGTAACTCCTGGTTGGACAAATGCCTCAAGGCATTTCAGGAGAGTAGAGTAAGATCAAGGCTTCAAATTGTTAGTATGCAAAAGAAAGAACAAATACAGATTATTCAGCCAATTATCTTTCTCCTGCCTCTTCTCTCCTACTGCATCTCACTTGTCATCTTTTTTCAACACCTCATTCTCAGCCTTTTCCATTTTCTGTTCTTTCCTCACTTGGTCTCACCCTCATTGCCAGCAGTTCACTGTTTCTCTTTCCAAATTCCTGGTGTGATCTTGTTGCCACAGCAATATCAGACATTAAAAAAAATTACATCTGCAACCAACTGTTGTTCCAGCAAAAGTTTATAGTAACAGGCCTGATCTACAATGCTAATATTTTCGGAAAATTCTGCTCCTAAAGTTTTCAATGCTAACATTTTCTCCGCATGCTATTTGGTCTCTTACCTTAAAATAAACATGCTGGAACCCTTCTGCTAACCCATCATATTTAGCCTTGTAGTTTCCAGACTTTGTAAATACATGTCTATATATGATGTGGAGATACGCATATTTATATAAGTACTTCCTTTGGTTTCTTAAACACCCTCACAAAAAGCCTATGCATGTGTATACCCTTACATGAACAGACTACTTTCTCCAATCTGCTGCTAAATGTGTAACACCCAAAAATCTGTAGATTCATCTCTAATTTTCCTGTCTGCTCCTTAACCTTTTATCATCTGACCTATCACTAGTGCAACAGGTCATCTCACACTCTGAACTGCTGTTTCCACAATTCATATCCATGGTGGTGTGCACAAGTAGTATTTACACACAGAAGAAGTCCATGCTTTGCATCCCACCAGTTATGGAAAACAGGGTATTCACCACACACCAGAACCCCAGGGTCACCCATGGGGATGGCAGGAAACAACAAATGGGTTAACAGGCACAAGACCAGCAAAGGCACTTACTTAAGGAAGAGACGACTGGCATCTCCTCAATCACCTTCTTCCCTGTCAGGTACCAGCCACACTGGTGAGGAGTTCCTAAGTTGAGAGAAAGCCTGGTTTCCAGTTTTCACTGATGTGCATCTGAAGGAGACTGTTACTAGCATTTTGTCTTCTGTATTTTTCCTGCAGAGGAAGCCAAAGGTGATTAACTTCTAAATTATCAGATGAACTTCCAGTCCAAAATAAGGTGATGTTGAACATTCCTCACAGAATACTAGCCAGCAATCCCATTTCAGTCATTACAGATTCTACCTGCCAGTGGCATGCAGGTGCATCACAGCTAGCGTGTTTTCTCTGAGAGGCTTTACAGCATTGGGGGTACATATTGTATCTGAAGTATGTGGCAAAACATAGTCTAGGAGATTCACTATATAAATATTCTATTTTGTTCAACAATCTGCAAAATCACCTCTTATCACTGTTTCCTAGTGAGAAAATTAGCCCTGTCTTGCATATATACCTATGAAATTACTCTAGATCTTGAATTTCTCATGACAGCTGAATTACAAGATTACAAATAAAAACATTAACTTTCATTAAAATTGAACTGAGAATTTTAACTAAACTAGTGGTTGGTTATCATGAAAAAAAAACCACAAACACAAAACAACACTTTAAAATGTATCTACTAATTATTCAAAATTAAAAGAAAGCACTATCTCTATCAAGAAAGAACAGAAGAGGGAACTCAGCAAGTGAGGACAGCTGCAGCACAATATATTTTTTGTAGCTGGGGTTGTGAGGAGAGGTTGTTTGTTTGGGTTTTTTTCACTTGAGCTTTTTTCTCCTGGAAGCATGGAAAAAAACAGTTACATGTGGCTTTGCATATGCCAGATGTGACAATGAGATCAAATCCCCTTTTGGGGAAAGAACTGCTTCACATAGTGTTTGATTTTGAAAGAGCAAGGACTCACTGTCTCTAAACTTTGCCGGATACCGATAAATGCTGGCATTAGCGTGACATTTCTCTTTGAAAGTTGGAGTACAGTATTAATCCTAATAAACAGTCAAAATCTGCAACCCTTGCTAACACAGAGCAGTGCTTACTGTCACGAACTTCAGAATGACTCATATAAACATGACCACAGCTTACAGCTCCTGGGTCTTTTATTGACACTTTAATTTTCTACCTATCAGATGGAAGTGTGTTTTTTTTTTTTCTTTCTTACATTTGGGATGTCTTTCATGCACCTAATGCATTATTAAAATCTGATGAAGTACAGTATTCATAGTGGTAGCTTACATACATTTAATCAGTTAAGCTTATAGCAAATTAAGCATTAAGCTATAAGCATTTGCTAAATGACTAAATACTTCATTCATGTACCACAAAGTAACATCACAAATGTATATATATATATATTACTTGTGTTCTGACAACAGCTTTCCTTATGAAAAATCTTTTTTTTTTTTTTTTTTAATAATAGCACATTTCCATTTACCATTTCTGTCAGATCAGACAGTGGCACTAAACCACCATTTTCTGGCCTGCCATAAAGTAAATGACAATCTACAACTAAAATTGTCCAAATTTCTCTGCAATGATTCTCTTTCAAACACATGGAAGAAATATTCATGTGTGATCAGTTTGTTGGTGGTCTTCTTAAAACTGTTTTCCCTAGATTTTTCATAGACGTTCATTTCATAAATGCATTTATATTGGCCTTAAGTTCTGCGGATGTATCAGCCGACTTGTTTTTGGTCTACGCTGGCCTTATCCCAGGTCTTGTGGGCCTTACTGAGGCAAAAAAAAAACGTTTATAAAACTAAGAATGGACCTCCTACTAATGTTCTTTTAAGAAATTGTAGGCATTTGACTCCTTTCAAATCAGAAACATTAAAAAAGTACGTTTTAAAATTCCTTTAGCATTGTTTTCTGGCAGACACGTAATTTAAATTTAACAAGTTAATGTTGATCAAACCGTTGCTTTACAAATAAAAATGTGAAGAGAATGTAAAGTCATCCTCCTTTTTAAAAGTTAAAAGACACAGATATTCACAAAAAAATAAAAAAAAATCTCAGCAAGAAACGCTTGCAATAAATCAACTGAGGCATGCAGCAGTTCTTTGTGTGATACGGTGTGATATAAACACAAAATCTGAACGCGAAGTACTGTTCTTGGGAAAAAAATTGACAAAGCTATAATGTGCTCACCTCATTACAGAGAGATCAACTGCTGCTAATAAAAGCAGATAACTTGGCGAGCCAAATGCATGGAAAAAAATGTGGGACCATCACTCCTGCCACTGACAGCTGAAAAACAAAAAGTATTTGGCTTTGTGGACAGTTCAGTCCCACAGTTGTTAACTATGGATTCATCTGTTTGCACTGATCATTGATCTTCTTGCTAACAGAGCTTTGGGATCCAACCTTAACCAACGTTTTCAGTGGCTTACAGCTGGCCTTGGTCAAGAGCCATCATGCCGACACCGGCCTAATGGCCACGTTCTGCATTTCGCTGTCAAATAGGGCTGACCAGTTTTCTTTCCATGCCCATTTTCCAGCAGAGAAGCAAAGCAGTTTCTTCACTGCAGGCACAGTGATGGCCTCTCTCACAGATGAAGCCTGGTCCCCAAAATCCCAAATGCCATCAGCCCACGTCTGAGTGAGGCAACTCCACGGCACCACGTTCAGGAGGCCAGCTTCCTGCAGTGGGGCCTGAGCTTGTTTGAAAGGAAAAGTGAAGGCAGGGACACATACCAGGGAACCTCGAGGCCCTATAGTCTATCAAATTTCATCGATATTTTCCTGTCTATCATGTATTTCTTCTATCTTTACATTCATGGTTACAAGAATCAGAGTCATAGAATACCCAAGTTGGAAGGGACCCACAAGCATCAATGAGTCCAAGTCCATCGAGTCCAACAAGCCCCTTCTGACCTATATAAAGCTTCTGATAATTTGTGTGTTTGTGCTAATTGTCCTCTGTTTTGAAAAACAAATATTCCCTCAGCAATTTAGTTTCTCCAAGGTGTGAAATACTTACTGCTTCACGTACACTGAGTTTAAAAATCCAGCCTGCCTGTTCTACATGGGCATTAGAATCACCTGCGGTATCGACGGATACACGTAAAGATTTCTTACTGGACTTATTTCACAGCTATGAGCAATGCATGAAACTGCAGAAATAGCTGAGGAACTTTAAGTTTTATAAATAGTGAATTATTCAGAAAACAGAACTGCAGGGAGATGTTCTGCAAAGTAAGATTAAATCTGGTAAAAAGATTCAGATTTTCTACCCTTACCTAAAAGTAGTATCTTTAACTAAAAAACAAAAATGTCAAAATCAGATGTTTCATTTCAGAAAATAATATTTCTTATTAATGTTTTCAAAATAAAATTACATATTCTCTACACACAATTGTATTTATTTCTTAATTGAAAGTTGATGTGGAAAAAATAATTTGGGGTCAAATGCAAATAAAATACTTCAATTTTTATTTCAGATATGAACCATTAATCTATTATTTACTCTTCTAACTATAATCAGTGTCAAAATTGTTACTATAAAAAGAAATGACAAACATCACAGTAGTAAAAGTAACAATATATAGAAATAAATATGTAATTCTGAGGTAGAAAATACTGGTAAAACTCAAGGTAATAAAAGAAGAACTTCAAATCCCATGCCACATTCACATTTTAAGAATTAACTGGTCCTCCTGCCAAGCTGAAAGACACAAGAAAATATTTCCTCTCTTTTGATATCATGATCTGAATAAGATTCTGGGAGCCAACATAGACAACAGTGTCAAAAGGGAAATAAATCTCAATAAAACCAGAAGGAATTAAAACAAAAATCCAAGAACAAAGTGTACAAGTTTAAGGCCTTTAAATACTTTTTACAGGGTATGAGTCTCAGAGACATCAAGGTAAACATTGTCATAACCCATAGTACTCTTAAGATGTTTCCCAAATGTTCTGAACTCAGTGGTCTGATTCTAGTCCTGAAAAAATATGCCATCTATATGTGAAGGAAGTACCTTCAATTTCTACTGCAAAGGGTTACAGCAACACCTGTTTTTAAGAATTCTCCTAATTTCTGCACTGATTTTTATTTCCAAACATGTTATATCTCATTCAAACTACTAATAGCTGACAGGAAAAAAGAAGTTTTTATTTTTTGTGAGAGTGAAAATACGTATTCACGATTCAGTATGCCTTTTTTAAAATAAAGGAAGCATTGTTTTTTCTATCTTTTAGTCTCTCATTTTTTTTGCAGGAGAAAGTATTTCCTCTCTTTTGATTTCATGGTCTGAATGAGTTTTTAAGATCCACTTACCAAGAGAGAATACAGTGTTAAAAGACGGAAATAAATATCCATGAAAACAGAGGGGACTAACAGAAATCTCTAGTGGCTCACAACTACCTCTCACTTAAACATATTTTAAAGAAATTAATTCTTCACGCTGACACTATACTGAATACTCTTAGACAATAAATCACCTCTCTTAGTTGACTGAAACCAGCAGAGGTAGAAGCCAGCATATTGTTTGCCCCCTCCTTTCAAAGTCTAGTTCTTTGAAAGGGAAGCAGGGAAGCCCATCTGTACACCAACACGTACATCAAACTGGCTTGTTCCTCACCTGCACTTCCCAACAAAGAGCAGCCTCAAAAACAGCAAAAGCAACATCCTGCTAGCACAGTGCAAGAAGGACTGATCATAGAGCATAAGATGTGGAAAGCTTGAAGAGGATCTTAAAAATATATAGCCTTTGTATCAAACATTCCCCTGGAAAACAACCTTTTGCTGCCAAAGGCAGACACAGTATTTCACCAACTGAATCAGTCCATGTCTGTACATGGACTGGGACTTACACTTCAAGAAAACCATCACTTCACACAACCTTGTTAGGGGCATCTTTGCATTTGTCCTCTTACATGTGGCTGCCCTGCAGTTACCTGCCCAGACAGAGCATATGATAAACCTCCCTAAGGAGGGGTCTGAACCATTCTAGTTTTAACTACCCTCTGTTGCAAAGGATATGCATGCCACAAGTCTTGCTTTTGGCTGATTGAAGCAGAGTGAAGCGGTCTGACCAAGCACGCTTTCACACGTACACAGAACCAGACACCAGATAAATCCAGACAATCCTCAAGCATCGTTCCCAGACACCACAAACTGTCCACAGGTCCTCTCCTCTGCAGGAAGAGTGGAGGCTGGCACTTGCCATTGCCTTTGGAGGAGGAAAGATGTAAGAGATTTACTGGCAGCTCTGCACCTTCCCACCCTTTCCGTATCACAGACATAGTTACTGAAGTGCTTGTGTTTTCCTTAGTGAGTAGCTTGGAGTTATGGTGAATTAGTGTTGTGGTTGGTATTTCCCATGGTACAAAAATGTATTCAAATAACTACTGAAGGGGAAAAAGAAAAAACTCAAGGGCCAGAAAAGTAATGAGGGAGAAATACAGCTCCATCTTTTGCTGGAGATGAGGAGTAACTCAACTCTAAAAGATGCAGAGACCATCATAACGCTGATTACTTAATTCTTAGTGAAAGTTTGCTAAAATGTTCTAAACAATAGGTTCTAATGTGTTTTAACAACTGCTTTTCAGAAATTGCTAAGTGGCTGTCTTCAATCAGTTTTAAAGATAATGGAATACTCAGTAATGTTTGATTTTTTTTCTCCCAATGAATAAACTATAGCTAGATTAGACTTTCATTACTTTATTGTATTCAAAATCCCAATGAAATGTAGAAGAGTTACAAATGATTTTTTATGACTCTGACCAAGCAATCCCTGCTTGTCAGAATGGCCAGGCACTGTTCAGTTTTGGCAACATGTACTTTTCCAGAATGGCACTAAACATATGTTACAGAGGCTTTTTGCATGCTATGCATCTTTACAAATGTTTCTCATTTCTTTATTTTTAATTTGTACATCTCAGCAATCAAGAGTAAAGGTAGCAATTGAAATTCTAACCTGGGGCTTATTGTTTGTTCCATTCTGCTCCAAAAATAAAGGGTTAAAGTAGATAAACTGAATTCACTGTACCTTCATTTTTCACAATCAATAAATCTATTTTCCATTTATGAATCACTACAAATGTGTGCATACGTAAGTGTGCATGAAGGAAAGACAAATGGCTACAGGGAGGGGGGGGGGGGATGATGCCCTGGATTACTCTCAAAATGTGCAGATGACCATTACCAAAGGAAGTGGAAGGAACAGCATGTTCACCAATTGCAGAGCCAGAAATAACAGAAGCCACAGGTTCAACAACAGCCATATGACTACAGGCAGGCTCTGACTGGGCACTTCCCATTCAGGATTAACATAACGTTTATATGAAGCAGAAAAATCCACCTCACTTACCGAAAGCTATGTATTTCTCTAAGAAATGTGTGTCTCCGAGATGGGAATCAATACCTCTGGCTTCTTGATTGAACAGACAGATGAGTCCACAGACTGGAAATGCCAGGTGCCGAAACAGGATTTGAAATGCTTGGAAGTATGTCTTGGGTCTCATCCCAAAGATCAGCATCCCCAACTCCGACTGCAAAAGAAAGATCTGACTGTCGGTTTGCTCCTGTTCACAGTATCATTGCTATCTAAAGTGAAACAGAAGAGTGAACATACAGCAGATGGAAGTGGGGCCCTATGCTTGTCTTTATTAAAGAGTCCTCAATGTTTGCACACAAGAGAAGTTTTCAAAATGCTAGTAAAAATACATCTCCCAGCTAACAAAGGTCTTCATGATGTCCCGAGCTATGAATGAATGAAATGAATACAGTACTAAAATCCACCACAACAGACTGAGTTTGAATTTTGTCTTAAAAAGATCGTCCCTGCAGAAGAGAGCATGCTGCAGAAGCTGGGCAGAGAGCAGCTCAGTACCGATAAAGGTAAAAGGTGACTGCTCCTCTGCCCCTTTGTGAAGAGAGCACTGACAGGAGAGGAAACAGATTCACCCGGTCCCTCCTCACAGGACGCTTCAATTACAATATAACCTTAATTGCTAATCCACAACACGTAAACTGCTGCTAGAGGAGGGTCTGCTCCCTACCAGGAACTGCTGGCTAACCGTCACACTTGAACTCTTTCAAGGAGAGACCCGTGTGTGTATCGGCTGTCTCCCTCAGTGCTCAAAATGCTAGGCTGTTGCACTGGAGGGTGCTTCTGCGCTGCTTCGAGCTGTGGTTAGAGGTACCCGCAGGAAAGCCTCCCTGGAGAGGAGGAGCTGTCCCTGCTGCAGTGCACCTGTGGGCCTCAGCCAGCCACCAGGCTCTGCCACACGTCCATGTGGCTTGAGACCTTCTGCCTCCAAAAGGAGAAGGATGTGCAGTTCCTAGACCAGAGTCACTGCTTCTGTTTAGAGTCACTACGTTTCTCTTTAGAGTTTCTAACAGGCTATTATTATTATTATTATTACACTATGTTTCTCTTTAGATTTCATAACAGACTATTAATTCAGGAAAAAAAATAAAAAATGAAAGTAACATGAAGGAATGTAACTAGAGCAATGGCATGAATTAACAAATCAAGCCCAAGGATGTCAGAAAAAAGGGCCATGTGCTGTGACTTTTGCTGTGTCCCTCTAGGGCCTTCAAATCGTCTGTCTCTGCTGGCACCAGACAGCCCAGAGCTGGGCACACAGCAGTGCTCTGCCAGCACGCCACCAGTTTGCCTGTGTCACGCCAACATCTGTGCCCAGGGACCTTCCTGAGGCTGCAGACTGAAACCGTGTAACACAAGCACCACTCAGTACCTCTTAAGCACAAAGTTGAAAGTGACGCCCAACAGCCAATATGTAAAACATTTCGCAGGGTGAACATTTTGGGAAGAAAGTTTATAGAAAAGCATCGTAGGTCTGAAAAGAACACAGGAACAAAAGAGAAATGCAAAACCTCAGGAGATGAAGGGAACCAGCAAAAAGAAAAATGTCGAGAGGAGGGGATGGAGGATTGCAGTGAGGGTGGGTGAATTTTCCCAGTGAGTGAACTGCAAGGCCAAGTAGTGTGTAGGGCTGAAAGTTTAATTAGTACCTTCTTCTGTCCTGTTTGATCTTTGCACAAAGCATTTCTTTACACAAAGGACAGAGGGGTTTCTGTGGTGCCGTACGGGAAGGACAGCCAGTGTCTCTCAGTGCAGGCATTTCCCGTATTTCCCGGAATAAATGGGATGCCTCTCCATTTCTCCTGCTTTCCCCTCAGCCTCCAGAGGACTCCAGGGAAATCTCACCAGATCATGAAACTGTGGTGAAAGATTAACCTATGTGAGCACAGTCCCCCCACACTCTTGCCCCAGACAAGACATGGCAGTCCAAGAGAAGCTAATGCCCGCTGACCCCCCAGGGCCCGGCTCGAGCTCCGGTTTTCTGCTGGCTTCATGAAGTCCAGGCAGGGAGGATTCAAGCCCCCTTCCCTCCCCGAGCTGAGAGGAGGAAGGGGGCCGAGGGACAGAAGGCACTGGAAAGAGAGCAGGGCGGTCATCAATTTGCCACCACTGGTTTCAAGGGAACAGGGAAGACTTGCTGTCAGTGCTAACCATACAGAAGGCATCGTCTATAAGACAGTGGCTTCCCAGAATATTTTCTTAAAAAAAAAAAAAAAGTAACAAAACTCTCCTCCTCTCTTAGCTACCACACCTCTGAGAAACCTGCAAAATGTGAACCAAGGCCAGCAGCAGAAAGGGTGAACCATTGCGGAGCTGCACCAAGTGCAGCTGGGCCAGTAGCAAGCACCTCAGGGAGAGGTGGGCTCTCGTGCCTGAGGACAGTGTTTTAGCAGCCACTGGCAACTCTTTAATTCACCACCGAAGACTAGAGGTGATCAACCCCCTCTGGTGAGCATCTTGAGGAGACATACGGCTACAAGTTCCTTGACAAGCTCCCGGGAGCCAGAGAAGCAGAGAAACGCCAGCAGAAGTTCCTGACACCTGCACCAAGTGCCTTGAATGGTTTTGAACTTGATACTCCCATAGGGGAAGAGCATGTCCTAAGTGAAGCATCGCCACCTTTATTCTGCGTGGGCAGAACAAAAATGTGTTCCTGGGACATCAAAGCTGGGGGAGGTGGGGAGGGAGATTGGGTTCTTACAGCTTCTGCACTTCATTTGAAGTAAACTGCGATTTTCATTTTTGTTTTACAAGTAACTTCCCCGGTCACACTTCCCACGCACATGCAGGACAACTCTCACGTACCTGCTCTGCAGCACACGCACGGACACTGCACGATGCGCGGCCCCAGGTGGGCTGTGCCTGGGCCTGCTTACACCCACACATGCCCTGAACTAAGCTGAAGCAGGCTCTGAAGCATCTTTTTTATTTATTGTGTGGCCGTTTTTAAGGGAAACAAACACATTTCAATCCAAGCTAAACCTGCAGACCCACCACGACGCTGGCAGCTGGGGCACTGCCTCAGCCTCCCACCTGCCCAGGGGTGCCCGGCCTGAGGCAGGAGGCGGCGGGGGCGGCACGGCGGCACCCACCCGGCCCTGCCCTGCCCTGCCCAGCCCTCCCAGCCCAGCCCAGCCCGGCCGCCCCGTCCCGCCCCGGTGCCCGTGCGCCCGGGTCGGGGTTTAAAGCCGGTGCGGGGCGGCTCTGGCGGTGTCGGTGCGGGCTCCTCTCCTCTCCTCTCCTTTCACCTCCCGTCCCGTCCCATCCCGTCACCATGCCGCTCGCCGCCCTTCTCCTCGGTGCGTACCGCGGGTGGCGGGGCAGGCGCAGAGCCGTGCTCCGACCCGACCCGATCCGCCGTCCGTCCATCTGTCTGTCTGTCTGTTCGCAGGCGCCTTCCTGCTCTGCGGCCCCGTGCGCGGGAGCGACGGCTCGGGTGAGTGTGCCGCCTGCCTCTCCTCCTCCTCTTCCTCCCCTCCCGGGCTGCTCCGGCGAGGCACGGAGCCAGGCGAAGGGGCCGGGGGGGCGATGGCGAGGGGTGCGCGAGCGAGTGCGGCTGTGTGTGCGTGTGTGTGTGTGTGCGTGTGTGTGCCGGAGCCGGGCCCGCCCGGCAGCACCTTCCTCTGGCCGCGGTGCCGGCGCGGGGCTTTCAGGCGGCCGGGCGCGCTGCGGGAGCGGCTGTGAGGCGGGCGGCCCGGAGCCGGAGCCACCCCGGGGGCCGTAGGAGGCGGCTCGAGGAGCGCCACCGAGGACCGGAGCCGCGGTGAGGTGAGGCGAGGTGAGGTGAGTGCCTGTGCCGGCCGGCACCGCGCGGGGGCGGGGGGGGGCAGCACCGGCTGCTCGGGGGGGCTTCATCCAAACGGCTGCAACATCGCCCCGTGCCCTCCCGTGTGCCGCAGCACGGCCGGGACTCAGCCCACCAGAAATAGACAGAAATGCACGATAATGGAAAACCTGTTGCTCCCTCAACTCCTTGTCTTACTTTACAGGCGCATTGCACGTCTAGTGTCAACGGCCTGTCAGGAAACACCTGGAAAGGGCTTCTAATAATACCTGCTGCTAGGGCTGGAGGAGCCTCCATAAGCGGAAGGTATCTGGGGCTAACTTATGTTAAGGGAATGTTGGCAAATGTAACTCTGCTTTTGTGTTATTACTAGAAGTAGCAGCACATACAGTGTGAGCAGGTAATGTAAGATACTGCCTCTCACTGTTACCCTGAGCCCAAGTTCAGCACAATTCGGTTATTGAGCTAGAGGCTTGCAGAAACTTTTTTTTTTTTTTTAAAAAAAAAAAAAAAAAAAGCTTAAATTCTGAAGTAACGAAAAGAGCAATAGTTTCCTTGGATATCTACTGTATTCAGGCTCCTAACTGCTCAGGGAGGTCTTATCTTTCCTTGTGCTCCCCCTGAAATACCTAAGTTCAACAACTCTGGTTGCCATAGCCAAGGCTGACCATACGGGTGGGTTAACACTGGCATATGACAGACAGTAAGCGAACAGAAGTTGATCAGAAAGTGCAAATCTCAGGCTGAATTAAGTAACATAGCCCTGATGCTTCCTTAGAAATTCCTCTGCTCTTGTTCATGTCAGGATATGTACTTAACGTTACATGAATTAGTGTGTAATCTATGAATGTGCTTTCCAAAATATAAGTAGGTCTCTATCTACCAATATGGATTTATTCTGGTATAGATAATACTTGTAAGAATATTCCTTGCATAAAACTATATATGTCTGAAGCCTCAAGGTAAAAACAAATGACTCAAAATTTTCTTGCTTTGAAATAAATGAAACTAAGTACTACAAGAATTGTACTTAAGAAAAAAGTAAACTGCGTTTTATGACCCATAAAGCTGTTTTGCTCTAGGAATCCCTGCCCTTTATTTAATGTACACAGAAATATATATGCTTTCTTACATAAATTTTGCTTTTCCAAAGCAATGCATGAGAATATCAAGGTTAGAAAAGCTCAGATTTTGTTTATAGTTTTTATTTTTCTAGTGTCGTAAGATAGTGACTGTTGTCAAAAATGAAGTGAAAACTCATTATAGGTGGGCATGAGAAACAGTTATTCAGAGCAAATCAGTATGTGGGATGTAGCAACAAAAAGATGGGAACTGATGGGATGACTGAAAGCATGGTTGTTGGATAGAAGTTTCAGGACAGAAGTGAGTCTTCACTTTTTTTTTTCTTTTTTAGGTCAACAGTGAAGGAAGACATTCATCCTTACCTTTAAATATGGCTTAAATCAGGAAGAAATGCAGTCTCTTTTCTTTGTACTTTGTTTTTACAGTGTACCCTAATGTGGTGTGTTTCTGTGAGGCTTAAAGAGTGTGTGTCTGGACAGAGTGGGATTATGGTCACTTTGTTACAGTTCTGAAGGACTAATCTTAGGCTTGCGTTCAGAGGTCTCTACTTTCCATCACAGTCCAGACTGGGTAGGAGTCTAGGACCGACTCCTTTCCTGTAAATTGCAAGCTTATCATTCCTTCTTCTAAAAATGCATGGATTTAGATTTTTAACTTTTTAATGGTATTGATTACTGAGTTAGATAAGTATCTAGAGAAGTATTTCAAGTGCTACAGTTCTTGTGTTCTTAAATTACAGTGATTATGAAGTAACTGCAACTTAAATTTTATAGATGGCTATTTGGCTGGTCCTGCAAGGATGAAATACCCTTGATATTTGGATATGTTAACAAAAACAACCACTCTCTAACATTTTAATAGTACTATCACATGAAATTTGGGAGAATTAATATGTAATCTGGCAAAGAATTATTCTATATGATTCAATATGCAGTATGATTAATATACTCTCAAGTTCACACTGGATTGCTTGTGGTTTTATGGGACTTACAGAGAGCAAAATCCACTGCACAGTTGGTACCATTTGTTTTAACTTTGTTACCCAGTACATCTAATTTTTACTCTGCTTCTGACATTCCTAATGTTCATCTTGGAATAATAGCTTATAGGAAACTGGATCTACATAGCAAAACAAAATGAAACTGCAGCTTTTTAACTAACAGCATGAGTCCTTCAGTGCATGTTACAAGCTGACGCACCCCACCCCCATTTGCTGATCTAGCTGAGGTATGACCTGTTAAAGCCCCTACCTACCGTATGTCAGCTGTTCAAACAGCAGGAACTTGCTTTTTGCTCTGGAGCCCCCCCTTTCATAGTGCAGATGAGGATTGTAAGTTTTTAGTACATAAAAATCCTGTGGCTGGGCTATAGTGAGCATCTGTGCTTTCATGGCTAGGGAAAACAGCCAGATTCCACCCCTCACATCCCCTCCCCATCCTCAGTGCTATCAAAAACATACGATGTTAGTCTGACACATGACTGTATTTAGCAAGTGCCTGCTAGTGAGAGAAATGTGGATCCCCAAGCGATAAGGAGTGTGTTAATTACACATCTGATTGTATGCACAGCCTGACAAGGAATTCACTCAGGCTAACTAACTAGAAATGGCAGGTATTACGGATTTCCTGTGGTGTCTTGCACTTCTGGAAGCTAGGAAAATGTTCCAGGGTACACGGCACAGGTGGTACTATGAGAACAGATTACTGTTACTGCTCCTTGCAAGAATTTCTCCATGGATGTCCAGCCTTCTAGCTGCTGTTTGGTCTCACTAGCTGCCACTTGGTGGATGTTTTGATTGCTGCCCAGTAATCAGCTAACAAACTTGTAGGAGTTCCCTGAAGTGATTAGGGCACTCAAATGCAAAGTAAATTGACTTTCAGCATAACACCTATAACAGCGCTTTTAACAATGAGAATAATGAGCTTTTACGTATAAGCATGGTTATTCTGCTTGTTTTTCAGGCTTTTGTTTTACTGCAAATGTATAAGACTAAGTATGGAGAGGATGTGAGTAAAACTTATTTTTAGGGTACCTGAGAATCAGAACTAAATCACTTTACAGTGATTCTTGTTACTAGACAGCTTTCCTTATTTTGAAGGCAGGGAAAAAGTAGAAGTATTCCCCGCTTTCTCTTTTCTTCATCTGGACTACGTAGGTACATCTAGTGCACTTAACTAACTTGTATGTGCTGACAGAAGTAAAGATTTTTCAGGAAGATATGATTAGATAGCTTACTGTAAATGCAGTATAGCACTAATGAGGATTAGCTATATTTAAATGCAAAACTACATGTATGTTCTCTAAATATCCTTAGATCTGTGCAGCAAGTGTGAACAGACACTTCACTGTGCACCTCCAGCTGTAAATGTTCTGCTTTTCAGCTCTAAAGTCAGTGGGATTAGCAGGAGGCACCAAGGCAGCATGCTCTCTTCCATCTGCTGATTAGGAACAGCATATGCTCCAAAATCATTCTTTCAAATAACAGCAGCTTATGTTAGGGTCAGTAAACACCCTAGGGTAAGAGTCAAAAAAGTGGGCAGGGAAGCAGGCAAGAGACCAATCACTAATCCCCATAATCATACACTTGTTGTGGTGTATGCATGGATTCATTAGCCAGACTGTCAGCTCTCCTCTTAATATTGTGGAAAAAGTAATTTTCTGAGTGCATATAGAAAAGGTTCTTGCACCTGCTAGTGCTCAGCGATGACAACATTTACTCTTAGGAATTTCAGAATAAATACCCAGTCAGTTATGGGTTGAACTTATGATGCTGAATTAATGTTGATCAAAGCTAAAGCTCTAACCTGCTGTGCTACCAGACTGGCTGTGCTGTGCAGTGGTAGTAAGCATCCAAGATAATGATCTCTAAGTTTGCAAAAGGAAAAGTTTTGATTTGCCAGGCAGAATTGTACACTGGTGTAAATCTGTGTATGTAGGCACGTGCACATGCAAGTACAGTAACAGCTCAGAGATGACTCTCTGGAGGGCAACTCTAAAGAAAAAAGACAGAGTTCTTTGTGAGAAATGCATGTGCATAGCACAAATAAATTCCATCTCTGTGGGTGAATCTGACTGCTCTTGGCACAAGGATCATGCTGATATCTGTTGCAATGAACTGATGTGAATGCTTTAATGCTACTCATATTACTGGAGCTGGGAAATGGGCACTCTGTTTTTTTGTTTGTTTTTATTTTTAAACACTGACTTCAGCAGGATTTGTTGCAGAAGCTAAGGAGATAGATGCTGTGTCAGCCTGCTTCGTGAACATCCCTGGACTGAACTTCCCAAACGAGTCCCAGATGCCCCACAGCTGGAGAGCACTGTGGGGACATCTGAGGCATTCAGTTTCTGTCTCAGCAAGTGCCACCCACTCTTGTGTTCCACCTCTATGGTCTTCCCCTAGCCTTTGTCTGTGGTAAACCTGCACATGTTGTGAACCACTGCCATTCTTTTCCACTGTAATATTTTCCTAGATGTTATTTTAATGTTCAATGCTGTTTGCTCTTTTTTAAAAGCTTTTCCACCCTGCCTCTCTCACAAAGCGTGTTCCTCCTTGCCATAGCTGCAGATTTCGAAGTGCCAGAGATCCTTACAGACATACTGGAGCACAAGATGAGATGCTGTACCTAATTCCAAACCCAAACATTTAGATTGGGTACAGTAGAGAAGGTGGTTGTTTTATTTAAATAAAAGATTTTCAGGTCACAAGTTTTTCTTCTTTTTTTTTTCCCCTGTAGTTTCCACTGCTATCACATGCTTTACAAGAGGACTTGACCTTAAAAAGGAGACAGAAGAAGTCCTTTGCCCAGCAAACTGTCCTCTGTGGCAATTCTACGTCTTTGGGGATGGAGTCTATGCCTCCCTTTCCAGTGTCTGCGGAGCTGCCATACACAGGTAAGGCAGATGGTCGACTGTTAATCCCTGTGTTAAGCAAGTTTATACAGTCTTGCTGCACTTCTGAATTTGAACCTTTTGATGACATCATAATAAAGACTTCTCTGGACTTCTGAAACCATGCTAATGTAATGGGAATGCCATTAGGATAGAGCACAGCAGAACAGAATGGCTGGGTGGCTTGCAAGTTACCCGAGTTGTGCTGAAATGTTCCTGAAAACAACGAAACTAATAACATGGCAAAGTAGCAAATAGGCTTGCACTGTGAGACAACTCAAATGTTGCTGGTAGCCATACAAGGATGCAGTGTAAACAGTAATTAATGGGAGAATAAAAGCACACTTGCATTTTTTTTTTTTTACTTTAATTTATGAGATCTTTCCTGGAAGTGTTGAAGTCAGTTTAAGCTCCCATGCAAACACCCCTATCCATGATTTGGGTCAATGTAATCTGTAAAGTTTATTAATTGTAATCAGAGTTATATCTTTTGTCAGAGAATTTGTTTTCTGACACTTCCTTGATGGGCATCAAACTTGATGACTCATAATTAGATCATCTTAATTAGACCAATAGCTATCTGAACTCATTCCCATATCAAACGGAAAACTGAAGGCTAGGAAATGTATCCAGATAACCCATGCTAAATAGATGTCAGTAGAATAGTAGTAATTCTCCAGGTGAAAGAAAACAGGCTGGCAGAAATCTTACTGAGGTTATCTGACTTTTTATAAAATGAAGAATTACTTATTTGAAAGGTAAATCCTTTTTTGAATCAATTTTAAATAATGGAACACTAGCTAAAAGCAGCTGGAGATGATGTGATCTATCTCAGATGCCTGTGGAAGGTAGAATGATTCCTGTCAGACTGACGTTAATACTTTGAAAAAACTTTTTGGCTATTAAGGGGAATTCTTAGCTTCATTTGTTAACTGGCTGTAAAAGACGTACTTGCTCATTTAGAACTCCTCATAGAATGATCCAGAACTGCATGTTCTAACTCTGGAGCGGACTGACACTAGCAACAGAAATTTAGGTTAGACTTGAGGAAAAAGTCTAGCAATAAGGACAGAGGAAATGGCCTGGTGTATTCAATGAATTGGACTGAACAGTGTAGTTTCTAAGAAGATATCCATCTGTCTATAAGAGCTAGAAAACTGTCATCCTAATTTGAACTGAAAGTACAAACTAGATAATCCTGTACATTTTTCCAAACTTCTTAGATTTCTGTAATTAAATATTACAACTGTATTTAAAATTAAGACTTAGTCATACACACAATCCAAACTATTTGTGTCAAGAGGCTCTATTGAAACCAAAGTAAATGTACTAAGTATGATACCTCAATACATTAGAGACTTTTTTTTTAAAAAAAAAAAAAAAAAAAAGATTCATTCTATGAATCTCATGAATGGGATTTAGTTGGCATTTGTGCATTACAACATAAGTTATCCTGAATCTCCTCAAACATCTCCAAACTAGTGATTCTTTAAACTAGTCTTACTTAGTTTCTAGGTACATTTATATTAACTTATGCATAAACTACAGTTTAAAAAAAGTCTTATTCTATTTGTGCATTCCAGATAAGACTACTGTTACCCATGCAGAAAGGCTGAAACTGTTCCATGGAACAAAGCATTTAAAACAAATTTGAGCATAGTTATATTCTCTTCTTACTCCCAAGCAACAGGAAGAAACTCTTTCAAAATGAAGTTACAATGCTAAACTCTGCTATCAGGGTATTTCTGAATTTTAAAAACTAATTTTACACCAAAATAACTGACTAGAAGATAAAGGACAAAATAAAAAGCTTGTTTAAACAACTTAAAAAGAAAATCAGTATTTTTTAATTTAAACTCCTAAGTAAACTAAACATAACAATGGTTTTGGTGGTAAATTTCTCAAATGCTGTAAAGGAGACTAAGGCTTAAGGTACTATGGGGTAGCTAGAAAGAACTTGGGAGGTATTGGGGGGGCAGGGAAAGAAGAGGGGAAAGTTTGTTTTTAAAACTTAAGAGTTGGTTTGAAAGATAGTTAACTGTTTCTGTGCAGTGTCTATTTAGATTTGTGTGGTCTATTTTTTTTTTTTTTCTTTTTGAAGAGCAGCTTTAAGTTAGCTGCTATTAGTCCTGTCAGCCCAGTGTTCAGACCAAAATTCACTATGTGACAGCATTTTCTTGGTTTTGCTGGAACTATTAGAAGCCATGAATAGTGGTCATTAGAAGCCATGAATAGTGGTCATAGTGAGTGAGGAAAAGAGATTGCTGGATGGAAGAGAGGGCATAGCTGTTTAGTTCTTAGCTAATTTCAGTACAGGCTACAGAAGCCAACTGAAACAGACAAACTACTTCTTCCTTCCAGCTCTGTGTTGCAATGGCTAAACTCCATTTCACCTTGGTGCCAAAGCAACTCCAAGAACACATTGCTAATAGGTATTACCAACTCCTGCGATCATGGTATAACTAGATATGTACTCTTAAGAATTTCAGAATTTTCTTCCAAGTTACTGAAACAACTCCATCTTATTTAAAACTGCGTGCCCTACATTATGCATGGTGAGTGCAGCACAGCCCTATATGTGTGTGTATATATATACACACACACCTTGAGCACTGTTGAGGGCCCGTGTCACTACCATAACTGCTGCTGTCTTACACAAAGCACACTCACCCCACCATCCTCTGTTTCCAGAAGCATCATTCCTGGAAGCAGTGATTTTTTTTTTTATTATTTTTTTTTTAAACAGAAAAATGATTGTGTGAGCAGGTGTCAGTTCCTCCTTCCACACACACTCCAGTTTGTATGTGTTGGGTCCTAATTGAAACCTGATTCCTATACTTGTGCATACACCAAATAATGCTTATTCCTCTGAGTAGTTCAATTACTGTGATGCGATTTTTTTTCTTGCAGCAATAACACTACATAGTGCATTTTAAAGAATTGAGCAGAATTCAGTTATTACTCCAGATGAATAAGCTTTCTCCCTGCTTTGGTTTGTTATATTTGGCTTTTTATCTTTTTCTGTCCTTATTTTATGTGCAATTACTCTCAGGAAACAGAATATTTGTTTAATATTTTTCTTTGTCTGGGAAGAAGAATAGAAGTTTTATTTGCCAGGGGAAGAATGGAGAACCTCCTACCAGGCTGATGCTATGTAGGCATAAAGAACTGAGTTAAATCTACCACTGAGTGATTAATTGGATTAATAATCAGAAGGGCAAATTAAGGACTAGGTTCTCAGCTTGTGCAGTTTTGTTCTAGTGCCAATTCCACTAAATGGAGACCTAACCCTATGTTGCAGTCATTAGATGCTAAATAGGCGTGCAAATTTTTTTAGAACCTTCATAACTAGTCACAGGGTGGGAACACTTGCAATTAAACATCAGGTTCTCAGAATTCAAGTGAACAAAAGCAAATCGTGGTGTTACTGAGTTGGCGACAATCTAACCACAAAGACTGGCCACTGAGCTGCCTCAGTGTTTGCTATAAGGCTATTGACAAAAACCTTGTCAGCCAGAGGGGCCGGGCTTCTGAGCAGCAGCAGCAGGCCCCCTGGGAAACTCTGATACATTGGCTGCTTCTGCTGCTGTGCCCTGTTTCTTGCCAAAAGCAACAGGAGTGCAGCAGAGACAGAAAAGCAGAACCTAGAGGGCCAGAAGGCTGGCATGAAACCCAGAACAGCTCCAAAGCACTGAACTGGTGGCAGGCAGGCAGCAGGAGACTGCTGTTTGGAGAAGGGGAGGATGCTTCTTGAGCCATGGAGAAAGGTGAATGATGTGGAAAGAGGTGGATGCATCTACTGGTAATAGAAAGGAAAGTGAGAATTTGGCTGGTTTGTCTGTTTTTAGCCCCCTGATGATAACTGTTTTCATCCAGGCATCCTGTAGGAATCACTCAGCAATGGTAATGGGGACTTCAGGTCAAAATTCTGCTCTCAGGTAGCACGGCAGACCTTGCTCTTTCTCTTTTCTCCCTTTTGGGGGGGGGGGGGGGGGGGGAAGAGCAGACTGGACACCGGTAGTCATATTTGATACATGTAATTATTACCAAAAAACATACTCTGCAACATTGTGCTTCTGGACTGTAAGACCAAGTCTGCTCAGTATGTATTTCTTTCAGCAGTCTACTGGCAGCACTGCTGGCCTTGGGGTTGGGGCTTTTCCTTAGAGTAGCACATCTCTGTTCATATCTATTTCTCTTCACTCTCTGTGAGGATAAACGTGAGCTGCTATTTAAATTTGCCAACATAATAATCTGATTTTAAACTGGCATTCAGGGCAACTTTACTAAAGCTTCTTTGTCTATACACTGTAGAGTATTCTTAGATAAAGTATCTCTGTATTTTGAAACTGCCATAATCTTTAAAGGTACAAGAATTAAATACACACAAATATAACCGTAGTTCCATTTAGAAATGCAAATCATGTCAGTGAATCAGGAATGCATTTTAAGTAGTCCACAAGGAGATTCATGTGGAAACTGCCAGAGATGCCCAGAGCTCAAATTACCATAACTGTGCAAGATTTTCTAAACTCCAGCCTTGATTATTCTACTTTCATGGTGTTTTAAATCAGATGAGGCTGGGACTCTCTTCAAGCAGGAAGCCAAACAGATAGGAAAAATAAACACAGAGGCGCACATTGCTGTGTTTCAATAATCTTGAAAAGGTTGTTTGTTTCCCATGCTACTGTACCTGCCCAAGTACCACGGACCATTAAGCTTTTCCTTCCATTTAGAGAAGCTCAACATTGAACTTTGGCCCCTAAAAAAAAAAAAATAATATCCATTCTTGCAGCATATAAAAAGAAATCTAAAAAGGAGTTCTGAGGCCTGTGACTATCACAACAACCCCTCTGCCTGTGAAAACAAACAATGGAAGTTCTCTCTCTGGGCAGCTTTTAACCCTGAAGTTTCCTAAACGTGTAAATCCAATGTCCCGTTGGGTATTGACATAATCCTCTATGTCCTGACAGTGCTAACAGGCTCAGCACGTAAGCATGATTTTCCAATTAGCTGTATCTTCGCTTGTCCCGCGTGACAGGCAGATCTGGCAGGCAATCACCAAATCACCAAACCTGCTCATTCAGTCATGAGGTGAAACTCAACAAGAGTAAAATGCTAACAGCCTTCTCTAAGAAGATTTTAGCCTCAAATCTCTTGTTTTTGGAAAACTTCCTCCACAGATTTTTCTACAAGTTTTCTTGTCACTTCTGCATTTCTGAACTGGCTTCTAGTATGGCATTTAGGAGTACAATAGTCTTATAATACTGAATATGACTTTATAAGATACTTTTAATCAGTAAGCTTCTTGGTATTTTTCTAATAACCCATTAAATCTGTATTTAAGTGGTATGCTTAAACAAACGGAAATAGCTATGATCTGTTAACTATTTCTGAAGTATTCCAAATTCTGAAGCTGCAATTGTGAAAATCACAGAGCTGAACAGCATCTGTTGTTGATATATCATCTGTGAGTCTAGATAGAAACCAATCAGGAATCTTATATGGATCGAGTTATTAACCTGCATTCTATTTATTTCAGTTTTCACACTTTAATTTTTGCTCCAGGTGAATGAGAAGAAGATACTACACATTTGTTCCTACTTTTATCAATATTCGGATGGTTGCTGTCAGCAATGCCTGCCATTTCTGACTGCAGCCTGTGTGGTTGCTTAACACAATATCCTACATACAAATTACTACTACAAGCAGCATTTTTCTTGTTTTCCTAGTTTTGGTTACTTTGCAGTCAAGCATAACAAATTCTGGTTTGGCAACAAATATTCACAAATCATAATGAACTCAAATACATTTTCCTGTAGCTCTTACCATTTTTCTGCTTCAGTCTGAGCAATTAGAATTTTAGAATTTCCTAATAAAATATCTGAGTGATGCTCTGCTCTGTGGAATATTTTCTCTTAACCTTTTCAGTATCTTACAGTTTATTTTTGCCTGAATGCAACCTTCTGCCTATATGGCATCATTTTCAGGAAGCTAGTGTCCAATATACTAATGATGGCATAATTGTATTGCATTTTCTTGTGATTCATACGTCTGATTCATCACAACTTTTTCTGTGTCTCAGAGGGGTGATCACCAACGCAGGAGGACCTGTAAAGGTACAGACTCTCCCAGGACAGGAAAGCTACCCTGCTGTAAATGCCAACGGGATCCAGTCTCAAGTGCTTACTAGATGGGCTTCATCTTTCTCAGTGACTCGTAGGTGTCTAAAAACTTACTATTTTGCCAACTGCATTTCAAATATTAATGTAGCTCTAGGAAACTTCCTCAATGCACCTGTATATAGAAACAAATGTGACTAGTATACAAAACGTAATCAAAGTTTACTTCTAACTCATTTTATCTTCACTTTTCCACAATTTTCTTAAAATAGTACTGTTCCAGGCAGACTAGTCTACCTAGATTATACATAAAGATTATTGGAAATAGTCTAGAAAGCCTATTGCAAATCCAGCATTCTTCAAGCACTCATAACTTCATCTAAATACACTGAAATACTGATATAATGATTCTATGATATAAATTAATTCTTCCAATATTTTGGCAGCTACCAAGAATGTTGCACTTGAAGTAGTGGGACGATCAGTATCAACAGCACGTCCTTCTACAGGTACAAGTTCTCTCCAACATGTCTTGTTTCATAGAACTTGTTTTTAAAGAAAACATATGTACAATATCTGCTTTGACATGTTTTGCATCAGCAAAAGGAAGACTCATTTGTAATCAGTGAGATTGATTCTCGTTTTAGTAGTGTTCATGTAAATGAAGGAACACTTAAATTTGGAAAACTAGTCGATAATGTAACAGAAGGAAAAGAGTTTGTGAGCTCATTGGATATTCATTTGAATGAAGTACCAGAGAAGACATTATGCATTTCTTCTTACAGAACTACATAACAGCTAAGGGTTGTCAGAACTTATCGGAAATGTAGATGTTGTTTAGATTTCTCTGCAGAACATGCTGCCAGTAAATGGCTAGATCAGTTTTTATGGATGCTTTTGGTATATACATATCGGACTTGGATCTTGTTTGCAAAAAGAACATTTGCTTCATTGTTTAAGTCCAAGCTTGCTTCCAAAACATTAAAATTGAACAGCAGATTGCTAACTGAGAAAGAGAAGTGGCAGCACTTGAGATGCTGAGCTACAGCAATTTCTGTATGTCTTCCTGTACATGTTTTGATATTCAGCTAGGCAGGTGCAAGAAAGGAAGGTTAAACAGCTTCATTTGAAAAAGAATATTCTCTAAGGAGCAAAGCAATAGCAGTGAAATTTTAATTATTACACTGATTGAAGGATGATGCAGTCCCATGCCAATTTTTACTGAGGATAGATTGCAATGTAATTCTTAGACTAAGCTCCTTCGATTTCGTCTTACTGTTCTTAAATGATCCATGCTGTTTCCTTCATTGAAGGCAAAAGACCTAAGAAGCCCCTTGACAAAAAGGCTGGGAACAAAGGTAGGAACCTATAGGTTTAGCTTCTGAAAAGCAAAATTGTAACGTTTACTTTGTGCTAAGCTAGTCTAATTATTTTGGATGCTTGCAGACTGTAAAGCTGATATTGCATTTCTCGTTGATGGAAGTTACAACATTGGCCAACGTAGATTTAATCTGCAGAAAAACTTTGTTGGAAAAGTAGCAGTGATGTTGGGAATTGGAACAGAAGGGCCTCATATTGGAGTCGTACAAGCCAGGTAATAACAGATGTACACAAAATATAACTGAGCGATAAGAGAAACCAAGTAATGTATCCCTGTGTATTTTGCAGAACAGTGTTTGCTCAATAATGGCAAATGAATAGCAAGAGAAAACAAACTCCAGCTTGCAGCACTGGTTTCTCTGTGCTATGCTGATATGTTCATGGGAGAAGACATGACAATTTCATCATCTGCCTTTGTGATACTTGTGTAATTTTCAATTATACCAATGCATTTAGTTTAACTTCTAACACGTTACAAATTTAATTCTGGATATATTTTAAACTAGTATTTTCAGCTGGTTAATAAGCTTAAGAATCATCCTGTCCTTAATTTATCCACCCAGGTACATGATTCCTCATGCTAAGGATTGTGAGGAGCATACTTCCATTTTAGTAATTAAAATGGAGAGATAAGTATACTCGAGCAAGAACAAAATGATTCAAATGCTAATTTAGCTTGCTAATGCCACAATGATATGAAAAGTCAACCACGTGGTTTATTAATGTTTTGTTTTTCCACAGTGAACATCCAAAAATTGAATTCTATCTGAAAAACTTCACTGCTGCAAAAGAAGTTTTGTTTGCCATAAAGGAATTAGGGTTCAGAGGAGGCAATTCTAATACAGGTGAGTTCATACGTCACTGAAAATAGAAATTCTGTCTTTATATAAGTAAAGACATATATGTATGTATGTATACACACATACTGAAGTACTTATTACTCTGTTAGGTAAGAAAGTGTTTTAAATACCACGTTTATCTGACGTTCAACATTTTTCCACTAGAACATTGCCATATTTTTTATTTCATTTTCAGAAGTCAGGGTTACTTATTGTATGCTTTATATCATTTCCTGTGCTTAAAGAGTAATCAATTTTTCACTGATAAGTGATATTTGAGACAAATTCATATCTAAAAGTCTTAACATTTATTTCTTCTTATATGGCTAATTTAGGACTTAGAATTATCTGTGAATAAAGAGTAAGTGGTTGCAAAGGGATGTTTGCCAAATACGGAAACTGAGCTCTCCAGATATGTTGAATTTCACAAGCTAAATTTAAGTAGCTTCTCTACCTCTTCCTTCCAAATCATTTGGCAGACGCTCATATATCTGCTTCCTAGTCTAAAACAAGACCTGTGGGGGAAAAACACTTCAGTGTGTTTTTTTTTTCCCCCCTCAGCTTTATCAGTTTTTTAATATGATATAGGTTGCTCAAGTTTCATGAGTGCTGAAATACCCTGGGACACTATTTCACTGCTACACTGGGTTCATTCTGTAGTCATAACTAAAATCCAGGACAATTTCACATAGGAATCTGGTATGAAAATGTAATTGTATTGTTTCTTTGTGTTTTTTTTTTTTGTTTGTTTGTTTTGCTATTCAAAACTAGGGAAAGCTTTGAAACACACCGCTCAGAAATTCTTCTCTTTGGAAAATGGAGCACGCAAAGGAATACCCAAAATCATTGTAGTGTTTCTAGACGGCTGGCCCTCAGATGATATAGAAGAAGCTGGTATAGTGGCCAGAGAATTTGGAGTCAACGTATTCATTGTATCTGTAGCAAAACCTACAGCAGAGGAGCTAGGAATGGTACAAGACATTGGTTTTGTTGACAAAGTAAGAGAATATCATTATTCCTTTTTCATGCATGGGTATGATTCTAAAGAATTTACTTCATGCTAGCGTCCTAAAGAACTAATTTTTACAAGTTTCATAAAATATATTCTCTCAAAACTATTGAGACTATCAAAATATCAGGACTGCAAATTTTGGGTAAGCCTTTTAGTTTCTTTCTTGTTAAGTTATATGCTTCTGCTGGTTTACTTTCTTGCTAATGGGGCTGCACCAAGGTACCAAAGTGCTATCACACTTCTCCCAGTTTAGAGTCTTGGCCAAATTATAGCTGTTGGACTCTGTAATTACATTAAGATTCCTGGAAGAGGATTCCAGGAATAGGTAAGTGCATCAAAGCAATTAAACATGAGTGTGGTATCTTCTGTCCTAAAATGGCAGGATCTTTCAGGATCTGCTCTATGGAGGATTATTTTGCTATAATCCTAGATAGTTACTTTTGCTACAAAGACAGGAAAGATTGAAAAACACTTCCTAACAACTTCACATGCAAGATAATCTTGGATGAAGAGTGTTGGATCTTGCTCCATATGAGTTAGCATAGGAATTCAAACACAGGTCTCAGTCTCACAAGAGCTTTCTAAGTGCTAGTTCATTACGTAGTTTTTCATAGGGAGGCTTTAGGTGTCTAATTTCAGGAGAAAGTTCATAGCTCAGAACATGAACCTAATGAAGCACTATTCCTCTGCATGCACAAGACAGCTTGTTTCTGATCCTAGGTAGGTCCAGCTCTCATATACTTACAGACACAGAAAGACATGATCTTATGTGACCGAAGCCTGCCCTCCCTTTCTGCATTTTGATCTTAGCCAGATAAGTTACCACCTTGGAGAGCTGATTTTAAATCGAATAAACATCTCAATTACCTGCATTTTACATGTATACTATGAAAGCCATGGGAAAAAATTTTTACTTTGAATTACCTGAGACTGTATTTTCTATTCAACTGCATATCTGTGTCTATGATGCATTATGGATTTTAAAAAAAAGTGCTTACAATGTTAGAAGGGAAAACACAAACACCTAACTTTCAGTGGATAGGGAAAAAGGTAGAACTTTCAATGCTTTGGACACTTAGTAGCCATGACTTACTTCCTTTTCAAAAAACAACTAAACTGTCCAGTTGTTACAGTTCTCATTAACTACATAACATTATTTGAAATTTCTGTAGGCAAGGAGGCACACTTCATTTAGTTATTTGATAAACTAAGTTAGAGCTTTCATTCACTTCATCTACAGGTGTTTGTCCTTAACTTCTTCAAAAACAAACAAAAGGACACCCCCATAAAACACCATCAGGCTCCAATTCGAAGCTGCCTTTAGAAGAAAATCCCATAGGTGTATGATGGGTATCCACAGAACTGCTGTTTCGATATTCACTTTGTGACTTTTGTTTTCAAACAGGCTGTCTGTCGAAATAATGGCTTCTTCTCTTACAACATGCCCAGCTGGTTTGGTACCACCAAATATGTAAAACCCCTTGTCCAAAAGCTGTGCTCACATGAGCAAATGTTGTGTAGTAAGACATGCTACAACTCTGTCAACATAGCCTTCTTGGTAGACGGCTCTAGCAGTGTTGGAGACAGCAACTTCCGCCTTGTGCTTGAATTCATCAGCAACGTTGCGAAGGCTTTTGAGATCTCTGATATTGGTTCCAAAATTGCCACTGTGCAGTTCACGTATGATCAGCGCACTGAGTTCAGCTTCACAGACTACACCACAAAAGAAAAGGTCCTCTCCGCTATCCGGAGCATTCGCTACATGAGTGGTGGCACTGCTACTGGTGATGCCATTTCTTTCACAACCAGAAACGTATTTGGGCCAGTAAAGGATGGGCCTAACAAAAATTTCCTTGTTATTTTGACTGACGGTCAGTCTTACGATGATGTTAGAGGACCTGCTGCTGCTGCACAAAAAGCAGGTAAATGATTTTGTGATTAAAAGCAACAGAAGTTGATTCATGCAGCTCCAGCAAGCAAATCAAGTATCACTGTTTTAAATTAAGCAAAATATGAGTACTTGTTCATATCACTGAAGTTCCATTCTAATGGAGAAGCTAGGTATGTAGCCATAAGTAGACTCACTCAAGGCAATTATGTGTTGTTTTTTTTTTTTTTTTAAAAAAAAGTACACCGTCTACTTTCCTAAAAAAAAAAAAAAAAAAAAAAAAAAAGCAGAAATCAGTAGATTAAAACCAAAGAGCCATGTCGTGAAGTTCCAACTAGCACTGGCATCCAATAGCATTATTTATGTTCTCCATCGTCATCTATGAGCGAAATAGGCAGTTTTACCAAAAAGCCTCTTGGGCTTCTGATGCTTGAAAACTCTAAGAGTACACAAAGCATCCACATTTACTTTCAAAATTGTTCTAAACACTATTTGTTTTTTTTTTTTTGCATTTCAAGACTTACTATGTCACTCCTGGGTTCATATATACCAGTACAAAACAAGATGCTAACTCTCAGGATATCCCCTATTTCCACTAGGATTCTTCCTGAGACACCTCTTTATTAGATTTTGCCACCAAGTATCAGGAATCAATGTCTGACAACCTGCAGGTGCAGAAATACTCATTTCTGATCTAAATCAATTCATGGTTGTAGAAGCTGATGTTTTTCTTGTAGCCATAAACAAAATGGTCTTACTTATTTTTTCTGTACTGTTGCATTGCAGGAATAACAGTCTTCTCTGTTGGTGTTGCCTGGGCACCTCTGGATGATCTGAAAGACATGGCTTCTGAACCAAGAGATTCTCACACTTTCTTCACCAGGGAGTTCACTGGACTGGAGCAGATGATTCCTGATATTATTCGAGGAATCTGTAAAGATTTTTTGGACTCTAAACAATAAAGCAAAAATCTGCTGTTGGATATTACTTTTCTGACACTAAAGATATATGAAGCTGAAATGGTCCCTCTAAAGTGCAGATGGTTTATTCTTACATATGCTGTCCTAGTGTAAGGGATGAAGAAGGGCTACTTCTCGTAGTCAGTAAAGGATTCGTGTGAGCTTGTTATAAATTGTACTTGATAGGGAGAAGCAGAATTTGGCAAACAGCTATTATTACTTTCAATACATTTATAGTAGCCCAAGTTTAAAGCTAAGCATATTGCACACTTAACGCTATCACAGAGCAGCAGAGTAAACAATACAGCTCTGACATTTTTGCTGTCACTTACTAGATGTCTTCTTACAAGATAAACATAATATAACTTTAAATACACAGTACTACCTGTCTTCTAGAAGCCTTCTGTAGCTTATGACTCTGTCTCTCTTCAAGGAGTTCTCTTGATAGTGTGAAGTACTCTCAGTGCTTCAGTTGTGCAACGTCCATTATTGCCAGGCAGCTTAAGAAGAGGCATGACAGATTGTGGCTAAAGAGTCTGTTTTACTAGTTGAGATTTTGCTGTGGTGAACGATAGTGCCATCTGCTTAGTAAAGTTTACACCAAAAGACATTTAACTTATACCCACAGCTTTCTGTGGATTTATGTTGTTGACTTCTGGCACAGGTTTTGAAAAGTACTCACAGCACAGTATTTCTTTTTGAGGATCTGGGTCCCAAGTAATACTACTGCTTCCTACACCACGAAGTCAATGGTGATATTGCTAACATCTGATAGCCTGGATTTTCTCTCTCTACTGCCTTGTACTATCTTTATTTTACAAAGTTGTTACTAGCTAGACAATTACAGACAGGAACCGTGTGCAAAGAGATTAAGTTAGACCACACACTGGGGAAGGAAAACATTCAAATTCAAATCCAAAGGCATCTCCAACCTTGAAACACAACTGGCTTATATCAGGTTACATGCTTAGGGAAGAAGAGAGCAGACAGACACGTACGAGGGATTCACTAGCTCACAGAATAACATGTTTCTAACATTAATAAAGCCACTTTAAAAAAATGTCTGAGGTTATCTTAAGAAGAAAGTCTTCTTGAAAAGGGGCTTTAATTTGATTACATACCATGTTGATGTTTTTATGCCTACATGCAAGGGGTTAAAATGATTAAATAATTCAGAGTTTTTTCAGATACGTAGAGAGAATAATGTCATTCAAACACTCTTTAGAAAATTGTTTTTTGCAAGTAAGATCCATAACAGAAAACAAAACAGCACTTTTCCTACCAATCTATGGTTTCTTTTTTTTTCTTCTCCCCCCTTCTTTTTTTGTGGTATTGATTGTAAAATTCTTAGTAGTTCTGGAGTGGCACAGAAGGGATTGTATTCATCAGGCTTTTGTTGTGTATTTTTAATAACTTATGACTGGCTACATATTACACTAAACATGAATATGAATGGCAAGGATGCCTTGTATTTTTCTATTAATTGTTATCCCTAATTTTGTTATGTGTTTATAGATAAGAGTATTTCAGCTATTGCTGTATAAATTCATATCCAATATCACCTTTGTGCAACAGTTTGATTCATTTAAAATAATTTTATAGAAATTTATATATTGCAAGGAACTGAGACTGTAGGTTTCAATCTGGATCTCCGTTTCTACACCTAGACCATGGCACTTTTTACACCTCACACAAATTTTTGAACATTAATCTCTTTAAACATGAATCACTTTGTATCACATCTTTTGGCAGTGTGATGCTTTCTAGCTGGTACTTGTCTGACAAGTGCAGTACATAGCCAAAAAAGGGTACCCAGGCTGTGACTGAAGGCTGGCACACAGCAGGGAGCCCTTCACGCTACCAGACCTGAGGTCTTTCATACTGCATCCTCAAGATGAGTGCAATAAGAACAGATCTTGGAAGCTGACCTTTATTACCCTTGGTAAAACTTGCAATATTGAACCAGCAAAGAACAAGGCAAAATCCCAAGGTGAGGTCATCCTATCATTCTTAAAAGAAAATAATCGTTTTGAAGGAATTTACTTTGACTTTCAAAATCAATGCCAAGAAAGAAAAGCTACAAGAGCACCAGCTAAAAGCCATTTACATCAAAAGCCAACAACTATATTTCTCTACAACTTCTGAAGCGACTGGGAGGTTGTTGTTTGGTTTTGCACTTACGAAGTAGAACAGTTTCATCAGAACAGTATTTTCTCCCGTAAGAGCTCATAGCTTCCTTATTAGTGTTGCCACATCCATCTTCTCTTCTAGGAAGTATGGCCCCATATAATACAAATATTCTATTTTCATCTCCTCTGTTCTGTAGAACAGAAGTGCTGACAACATTTTATGCCTTGATTTTAGGCCACCTTTTTAATGGGGCAACTCTCAATGTTGCTACTGAGCTCCATCAAAGTCACTGCTTTAAATGCAGAGATTCTGGTTTTCACAATACTTTCCTTCCTTTCATTGGGCTTACGGGTAAGTTAGCTCCAGAAAGCAGTAAAGCCACAACAATCACAGAAAATTTCTCTGTCGCACGCAAGTACCATAGGAGGCCTGAGCACACTGTTAAAGAAGATCAACTTGTGTCTTTAACAAACTGTCTGGAAGCTAAAGGCTTAGATCCCCAGCCTAATGACAGCAATCCAAAGAAAATCTTACTGAATGACTTTGGTTTGGATCTAGGACAGGAAACAAATGATTTTCTTGAGAAACAACCAGAACGTGCCTGAAAAGCTTGTGATCAACTGTCAGCCAAATATAGACACCAAGTGTACAGAAACTTCAACTGAAGAGTTTGTAATTTAAGAGTATTTTCCAGTTATGTGTGTCTGTCAACTGGAGCACACATTCTTTTACTCTCTTTGGCTTCAGCTAGAGGAAGAATAGGTCCTGAAAATTTGCAGTCTATGATAAAATCCAGAAGTTTAATCTCTGCTTTGAAGCAAACTGCCCATTTAAATTTAATCTCATTAGGATCAAAATTTCTTTTCCTTTCAAACAATCAAGCTCAGTTAGCAAACTATCCTTGATCATAAGTCACCTTCATTACCTAAAGGGTATTTATTCCTTTATTACTCTAAAATTTATTTACATTCTTCTGTCTCCATTGCAGTATCCTTCCTATTTTTCTAGGACTAGAAAAAACACTAGCAGGGGCAGCTGAGCTCTAGCCATCCCTGGACAGGGAACATCGACACAGTAAGGCTTTTGCCAGTCGGTTCACTACAAGCCAACAGCAGGCAGCACCCGAGCAGGCCTAACCTTGCTTCGAGGGCACTCTCCTGGAAGCCAGGCACTGTCGGCTCTACTCCTGCCTCAGCCTCAGGGTATCAGTGAACTTGGAGCTGAACTTCATACTGGGCCAATTCCTAGGACGCAGGCATGATAATTCTGCACAATTGTTTTCACTAGCAAATGCTAACAAAACTTTTCCAGCTTCCACAGAGGTCAGATACGGCCTGTACGACTTAACAGCAATCAGAATATGGTAGAACATAAGCAGAGGGATAAGGACTATTTTTCTGCCCTGGTGTATGTGATCAGATTACAACTATGATAAATAATTCTCTGCCAAAGAATACAAGTAAAAAAAGAAAGACAACATCCAGTCAAAAGACTGAGCAAAGACTAGCAAAGTTTAGGAAAGTAAAAATGAGAAAAAAAGAAATACTTTAATACTAATTCGACACTACTTTTAAATTATTGGTAAGTTTCCAATCAAATAAACTATACCATGAAATAGTTTTCTTTTTTTGTTTGTTTGTTTTTAAATGAACACCACATTTGCTATAAATAATTACAGGAATTCCCTGATATTTGCTCTTAGGTAGCTTAACAGCATACTACTTGTTCAGAAAAGTATCAAATGGAGCCAATAGCCTTCTGCTATTAAATATTCTAGATGCAATGAAGCACAGGACTTTGTCATGTTGAGCTATGCGTTTTGATTGGCACGGGGAGCAGGTCTAGAAACAAAGCTGAACTCTCTGGCACAGTACTTTGCTAACAAATACATCAACAAAGTCTTCACTTCCCGGTGAACTCATTTACTCAAATCTAAATGCTGACCAGAACTACAAACAATTAAAATAAAACAACCAATTGCCTCTTTGAGCAAGAATAACTGGAAAAAAAAAAAAAAACAAACAAACACAACTCAGAGAGACTGGAGTGCATATAAACCATCGGAACAATCAGATATTTGGTAGACCACTGAGATCGCAGAAACTACTTCTGGCCTAGAAATTCTTCTGTGCAGCTACTGTCAGCCAAAGCATCTTACTAGAAAACTACATTTATTCAGGCTGGCAGAATCAGTCACCTGCTTATCAATGGCAAAATAGTCAAAGTGCTAAATCAAGAAAATAAAATCCAGCTCCTGTTTCACAAACAATTACCCCAGTAATGAAGTGGTATTGAAAAATATTTGACAGGATTTCCTGTCACATAAGACACAATGTTATTTCCTAGTAACACAAAAAAACTCCAGGTAAGACAATCCAGGAGAAACCTTTGGCTCCAGATCACTCCAACAAGAGCACGAGGCACACGAAGCTGAGTGACGACACAGACCTCAGCGTGCTGGGACTTCTGCAGGGAGCTGACTGCGCTCTTAACACCTGCACCAACATTTGAGCTCCTGCTGACAGCGATCGCAGCGACCCACTGCTGCTTCTCGACCCACTGCTGCTTCTCGCAGGGGCCCAATGCTCACCCCAGCTGACCCACAGCCTGTGCCAGGGCTGGCAGCCACGGCCCCCTGCTGCCACGTGTATTTCCCAACAGGGTGGGACAGGTTTTTGTTTGCTCCCTGCTGAGATTTCAGGGAGGCAAGATGTGACTTCTGCAAGACGAAAGAGCTTTGTATTCCCACTTCAATGTAAGCATAGATACAAGATGTCCCTAGTCAAGTGAGAAGCTTTTTCCTCAGAAAACCGTTCTCTTTGGAAAAAGGGAAAAGCAAAACACAACTACGCTTTCACTAAAAAGCACTGGACACCAGCAAATCCACCCATTTTGAGGTACAAAATAAAAACTGGAGGAAAGACACATAAATGAACGTAGGGAAAAAAAAAAAAAAAAAAAAAAAAAAAAAAGCTTTAAAACAAGAAGAAAACAGGCCAGCCATTAGAAAGCTGCCCATAGCATGCGGTCCCCTTGGCCAGCCACTGTTCGTGAGAGAAAATGGCCGCCTGGGCCAGCCGCTATCAGGGAGGGAAAATGGCCGCCTGGGCCACCCATCACCAACGTCCCCTCAGCTCCCAGGCGCAATATGGGGTCCCTGGTACATCCACACAAACGTTACCGTCCCCACCTGCCCTCCAGGGGCACAAACACGGCGTTAGGGGGTCCGGGACCAGCGCCGACCAGCGCCACCAGCCCTTCTCCCCCGCGCCTTCAGCCGCCCCGCGACGGCCACGGGCAGGGAGAGCAGCGGCCCTCCCGCCGGGACTACTCACAGCTCGCCGCTGGTCCCCCGCGTCCCGGTCCTCGCTCGGGAGTCGTTAGAGCCACCTCTGGGCTGCCTCCGCCCTAACGGGTGCGGCTCTGCCCTTGAGGACGGCCCCCGGGCACGGCCGGTGTCGCCCTTACACGTGGGCTGCGCTTCCCTCCGCAGTGCCGCTGAGCCGGGGCGCGT